GTATGTATATGTATAAAAAAAAAAAAAGTAAATGGTAAAAAAGTTCAATGCAATGTTAAAAAAACACGTTGCACAAACTAGATTTATTGAAATCTAGTTTGTGCATTGTGAGTTCTCTATGTGTGAGTGTGTGTAAATGTATATACATTTATGTGTTTATGTATATAGATAGATAGATAGATAAATAGATAGATAGATGGATGGATAGATAGATAGATAGATAGATAGGTAGGTAGGTAGATAGATAGATAGATAGATAGATAGATAGATAGATAGATAGATAGATAGATAGATAGATAGATAGATAGATAGATGGATAGATAGATAGATAGATATTGTCATTACCATCATTTATTGTTTTTATCATTATCATTATTGTCATTGTAACTATTATTATCATTAGCATTATTACCAATATCATTATCATTAGAATTATTGTTCTCATCATTATGATCATCATCATTGTTGATGATGATCATTATTATTATTGTTTTCAATCTTCATAAATATTACTACCATTGCTATCGCTATTATAATGATCTTAGACACAAATAAATCTTAGACTTACAAATACTCGAGGCAGACTTTCTCCACATATTTTCACTATTAACTAACATACCCTTTGAAGCTCTTTCTATCTATCTATCTATCTATCTATTTATCTCTCTCTCTCTCTCTCTCTCTCTCTCTTCTCTCTCTCTCTCTCTCTCTCTCTCTCCTCTCTCTCTCTCTCTCTCTCTCTCTCTCTCTCTCTCTCTCTCTCTCCTCTCTCTCTCTTCTCTCTTCTCTCTCTCTCTCTCTCTCTCTCTCTCTCTCTCTCTCTCTCTCTCTCTCTCTCTCTCTCTCTCTCTCTCTCTCTCTCTCTCTCTCTCTCTCTCTCTCTCTCTCCCTCCCTCCCTCCCCCTCTCCCCTCCCCCTCTCCCTCCCCTCTCCCTCTCCTCTCCCTCTCCCTCTCCCCCTCCCTCTCTCCCCCCTTCTCTCCCTCCCCCTCTCTCCCCCTCTCTCCCCCCACCCCCTCCCCCTCTCTCCTCTCTCTCTCTCATTTCTCTTATTCTTATTAACCGACTCGCCCTCGATGTCCAAGGCCCAGGTAGCTTTAAAACCCTACGGATCACAAGCCAGTATTCAGCCATATGTGCCCTGTGAGTTATGAGAAAAGTTTGGGGAGTTGTAATGGCTTACGTGAGGCTGACCTAAAACCGATTAAAACCTTCATCAACGGTGAAGGACCTCCAGTTTATGTTTTAAGAGATAGTTGTGATCTTTTTTTTTTCAATTCAGTGTTTGTTTATATATGTATATATATATATATATATATATATATATATATATATATATATATATATATATATATATATATATATATATATATATATATATATATATATATATATATATGTATGTATATATATATATATATATATATATATATATATTGCACAAGGAAAAAAATTAAAACCATTTCACAAAGAGACGAAACTCAGATAAAAGAACGAAAGAGAGAGACAGAGACAGAGAAAGAAAGAAAGAGAAAAGAAAGAAAGAAAGAAAGAAAGAGAGAGAAAGAAAGAAGGAAAGAGAGAGAGAGCAAGAAAGAAAGAAAGAAAGAGATAGAGAGTGAGAGACAGAGAGATAGAGCAAGAAAGAAAGAGATAGAGAAAGAAAGAAAGAGAACGAAAGAACAAGAAAAAGAAGGAAAGAAAAAAAGAGATAGAGAACGAAAGAACAAGAAAAAACTTTAAAGAACAAGAAAAAACTTGAAAGAACAAGAAAAAAAAGATCGAAAGAAAAAGAAAGAAAAAAGAAAAGAGAAAGAAAGAAAGAAAGAAAAGAACGAACGAACAAAAAAAAAACGAGAGAGAGAGAGAGAAACGACATGGCCGTACTTCAACTCCGCATCTGACTGCTGTTGCCGGTTAGTGATATTTGGTCAGAGAGTTAACCAAGC